TGTTCATTCCTGCTTCCTTGGGACTGAGGGTACAGCCGGTCAGCCCTGGGTAAGGAAGTGGACTAATCAGGAAAACTTGAACCCAGTTTCTAAGACTTGCTTTGTGACTTTGAGCAAACCGCATGATCTCTCTGTGTTCCAAGATGGTAATTCATACCTTCAATATGCCGAAACATTGCAGGGATTTAAAAAAAGCTGGGTAAACGTACAGAACCTTAGAAATCAAAAGAAATACTTCGTAAGCCTTTGCTAAAGAGAAAATAGAGCTGGTGGCACATACCCAAGAAAGTAAGTTCCGTGAGAACCCCCAGGGATCGTTCTGACGACCACGTCACCTAGAAGCAATGCTGCAGACGGGAGGCGCTCGACTATGTGAGGGGGAAGGTGGTGAGTAGCATGAGGACACGTCCTCCTTACCTGCCAAGGTCTGGGTGACAGTCTGCGCTGCCTGCAGCTGCATGATGCCGATCTGATTGTTCATCTCGGAGTACTTGCTCTCGGCCTCTGTGAGCCGCGACTCCATGCGCTTGGAATTGCTCTCCAGCTCCATCACCTGCATGACCACGCTGACCCAGTCCCTTTCCTGCTTCCTGCTCAGGTCGCTCAGCAGGCTGCTTAGGTTGGCAATTTGGGCCTTGAGCTCCTTCGCCTCCTCACAGCAGCCGGCCACGGTAAGCTCTGCAGGTGTCTTGCGCTTAGGGGGCTTCTGTGGCCACACTGGGTGGCTGACAAAGGCCACAGTGAAAATGCAGAGCCAGGCCACGGCCGAGAGAGTCTCTTTCAGCATCTTTCGTGGGCCTGGTTGAGGAAGGCTCTTCCTCTGGGGGAATCTGGCTGTGTCCAGCTGAGGTGTGCAAAGCTGCGGCAAATTAGAACCTAGCCCGTTCGCTCTTGGTGGACTTAGCACTTTGTTGTTCCTCTCCCCTCGCTCTTTCTTAGCCTTTCTCAAAACTTGAGTTTCTGAAAGTGCAGCTTAATTGGGTATCCTATAGCTTTCCTTCCCAAGACTGAATGCTCGACAAACTCAGCATCTTAAATATTGTTTGCTGCCTGCCCCTCCACCCCTACCATGGCCGTGCATAGCGCTTTAGCCCCTCCCAGCTCATCTGGGAGGGTCAGGTGCCTGTTGGGTGAAGTCAGCGTAAACTTAGGCCAGAGGAGGGGAGGAGAGAGACAGGGGCAGTCTTTCTTTCCTTGCCTGCACAGTCTCTGGGCTAAGACAAGAGGACTGAATTTGGGTGTTTCCAGTTTTGCCTATTAGATTGTACCCCTGCCAGCCACTGGCTCTGCTCTATAAGCAAGCAGGGCAGGGTCAGAAGAATTTCCAGATTCCATTCTAAAGGTTATATAACCGTGGGGTGAGCATAAGGTAGGCAAAGAGAGTTGGGAATAAGACTCTCCACTCACAGGGAGACCTGTTACTGCAATCCACGCTGTTTATACGAGGCTCTAGTCTATTTTGGCATCCTTCTGAATGTGCTTTTAACAAGGCTCATTATTCCTTTCTCTGATCATCATTCAGTGTTTTACAAAACCCTCTTTTGGCCTGGATCTAACGCTATCTCACATTTGAAAATTTCCAACTTAGAAAAGCTTTAGAAATAGAAGGATAGAGGAAATCTCTTAAGAAGCAAAAAAGGACTTTGTAGCTTGTACCCACAGGCTTTACCCAGTTCTTTCTTTTTACATACTTTCTCCTTCAATAAAGAATGGTCCAGTGTTTGCCTCTCACACTTGACATTTGGCATGGAAGTGGCAGCGATGGCAGCAGGGGTGAAAACGCAGGACTTGGTGCCGGGATGGGCACCTGCACGCCCATCAGTGTTCATGCAGAACAGAGAACAGGCACAGCCACGGCCCATGGTTCTAAACCTGGAAAGTATGTTAAAACGTAGAGAAAAACATCCCCATTGCCTAATAATCCATGTCTAGAGTCTCATTTCCCTTTTCCTATGGAATATGGTTTGCAGATTTATTCTCTATATATGATACATATATATCCCTGACAATAGGGATATTGTAATTTTTCATGTACTGTATTTAAAGGAGATTCCTTCTTTGAAAACAAGTGGGGAAAATAACTGGGTTTTCAGCAAATCTTAAATCCTTAAAATGAGCTTTTCACTAAGAAGGTAAACAAAGTTCCCTCTGTCCATACACGGTAACTGTCTTCGGAACATACTCTTGCTATTTCCGGGTGCAGTGCTTATACTGTTGCTATTCCGTATGGGCCCTTCACACACAAGCCTGAGGCCTGGCAGCCCTCCTTCCCGCCGTGACCCCCAGAGCCTTTTTCCAGTCGGGGCTTCTGCTTCTCAGAAAGTCATTTCTGTTCAGGCAGCTGGAGTTACCAAACACTTTTTTTTTTTCCTGTAAATCAAAAAGCAGGAGTGGATCAGGTGGATCAGGGTTTGTTTGCTAACCTGCTCATCTTCTTTGCCTGCTTAGGAGTGAGGATGTTGCCGGAGTCCTGTAGCAGCTTGTCATTCTGCTCAAAAGGGTCTTTTTAGAATTGGCAGTGTCAGCCAGTCCCTGCTGTCTCTTTGCAAATGTCTAGTACAGCCGGGCACTGCAGCCTTAGCTCATGGAGCTCACTTCACTAAGGCGAATCTGGCCCCGACCGCCAGCATCTGACAGGGTCATTCAGCAGGGTCTGCTGAACTCCATGAGGATCTTCAAGATGATCTCCTACCCAGCTTAACCGACACTGAGCACTGAGCTTAAACCGTGTGGCACACAATTGTATGTAGCATCACACACGATGCTGCTGTCTTGGTAGAGAACATCATGGAAGAATGGCGCTTTATGGATTCCTGGCTGGCTTTTTGTTTGTTCTTTCCAGTAACCATTTCCTCTGCCCAAACAGAAAAATTTTGTTATAAATAGATTTTCATATCTGGGCAGAAAATGAATCGATCATTCATATTTGCAACCCATGTAGCAGTCCTTTCCAGGAAAGGTAGGAAGGGGTTCCTAAGTTTGGATCAAAAGCATCTAGCTTTTAGCATGAGTGCCTACTCTCTGACATTTGTTTTCTGGAAACTTATTTCTAACATAAGGCTTAAGTTGGAGACAGAAGTTTTTTTTATTTGAAGATTTTCTTAAATTGTCTAATCTGCCCAAATCTTCAACCCCCCCCCCCCCGCATTTTGAGAAAAATAGCTAGTTAAGAGTATATCCCATGCCAGAAGATTATCTGTCCTCCAAAACATCTACAACCCTAGGGTGTCCTAGATTCTGAATTTCTGAAAGAAGGAAAAATAAGTCCTTGTTTTGAGTACAGCTAAGCCAGTAGAGTAAACCAGGACAAATGCGGAAGACTAGAGCAGTTTTCCCTTCTCTGAGAGGCTTTTAATCCCTTCTCTGCCCTTCGGTGAACAATGTGACCATAAAAAATGGGAATTAATTGAGAAACTTTGGAAAACCTGTGTTGGACACCTTACAGTTTTCCCTTTTCTCCATTTTGCTGGTGGTGAAAGAGGGTCAGCTTGGAGCTCTTGAGAAAGATGTTTATGCAAATAAAGTTTATGTTCTTTTGAGAAAAGCCAGTGAGCTTTTACTTCACAGTCTGGGCTGTGCTGCCGCAGGCTGGCACCAAGGACTGGATGTGTCCGAGCAGCCTGGGAATTCCAGAGCTGAGAAGGGCCTAGAGCTGGTCTTTCCTTCTCCCCCAATAGGGGCGTCGTGTCTCATTTTCTTGAAAATGTTCCTGTTGGAGAGACTCCTCGTTTTCCAGTGTATTCGTGCCCCTGCCTACTCTTACACCATGCTTCCAAACTGGTGAGGGAGGAACAGCTGCCCTCATTGCCAGGCTCTGTTTGTTGAATGAATACATCTCAGAAGAATCTGCCTTGTTGTTAGTTTAGCTGTGTGTTTGTGGTCATATTTTACTTCGGAAGTCTTCTAACAGCTGCCTTACTACATGTGGCCGTTTAATCCCTGACCCTTCTACCGCTCAGCCGTACTAAGTCCAGGTCCATCGCAGAAGGTATTTGCACCTCTTCCCTAAGCCTTCTAGTTGGCCACTTCTCCCAAAGAGTGTGTCCTGGGCTTATTAGAAACCATTTCTTTCAGGCCTCCTCTTAGCGTCTACTGTTTAATTATAGCACCTAGCAAAAGTCTGTCTCTGAACCCTCTTAGGAATTTGTAGCCTCAGGTGCCTCACAGGCTAGGTGGAGAGACAGACAGCTGAACTCCAGGGCAATGTGACATGCTGGGGTGGGGGACACAGCAGAGGGGGAGTGCCCAACCCAGATGAGGTTCTGGAAGGTCTCCCGAGGGGAGTGATAGCCAGGGTTGTTGTTTTTGTGGGTTTTTTGTTTTTTTTAAAGGAAGAAGTAGCCAGAAGTGGGAGAGGGCATTCTGAGCCCAGGTGCAGCTGTATGAAAAGCCTGGGCTCTATAAAGAGCCTAAGTAGTCAAGTGTGGCATTAAGGGGCAAGAAGGAAGAGGAGTGGTGGCAGGAATTAAAGCTGGAGGAGTGGAGGTGCGTCGGGCCTCAGGGCCCTCGTGCATCCCAGCGAGGCTGTAAGTGTTACTTGGGAGACAGGGGGCTGTGGAAGGAAGCCAGGAAGCTTTTACTTCTTGCTTTGTTTTTTTTTTGAGTCTCACCAGGACAGTGGCTCTTTGTAGTTACCAAACAAGATTTTTAACTGGAAGTGGGTGGCTTAGAACATCAGAATTTCTTAAAATTGTAATGCATTCATATTAAATGCCCTGAAGGGCTCATCTGGCTTGAGGATTAAGGAGGTGGTATCTGAAGGACTTAAAGTAATTAAGTCTAGAATCAGATAAATCTGGGTTCTAATCCCTTCCCATCGCTTGATAGTTATATGACCCTGGGCAAATTAATTAACTTCTCGGAGTTGACCAACCTGTGAAATGGGGATAAAACTTTTAACTACTCCTGGACTTCCCTGACAGTGCAGTGGTTTGGACTCTGTGCTTCCACTGCAGGGGGCATGGGTTTGATCCCTGGTTGGGGAACTAGGATCCCACATGCTGTGCAGCACAGCAAAAAAAAAAAAAGTTAGTAAAAAAAAAATATAACCACTTCACAGGATTTTTGTGAGGACTAAGTTAAATATAGCAAAAGATTAAAAATAGCTAAGGCATTTTTGAAGAAGAAAAATAAATTTGGAGGAATTACCTTATTAGAAATCAAGATTTATCTTAAAGCTACAGTAAGTAATTAAGGCAATGTAGTATTGGCACAAGGATAGACAAATAGATAAATGGAGCAGATTTGAATGTCCAGAAACAGACCCACACATATATGAACCCTTGATTTATGACAAGGTACCACTATAGAACAGTGAATTCCTCTGGGTAGGCTAGATAGCCTTATGGGGGGATAATGGTTCTTGACCCTGACCCCACACCACACCCAAAACCTCAAGTCCAGGAGATTTCAATTCTAAATCGGAAAACAGTAGGGCTTCTAGAAGATAACATAGGAGATTATCTTCAGCATCTTGGGATAAGCAAAGATTTCTTAAACAAGATTTGAAAAACACTGACCATAAAGGAAAACATCATTAAATGCAATAAAAGGAGTCATTTCTTTTCACTGGAAAACACCATGAAGAAAGTAAAAAGGCAAGAAGGTATTCCAGTACATACTTCTGTGTATACCGTATCCAGAGTATATATAGAACTCCTAACAAACAAACAAAAGGTAGCCAATTAAAACATTGGCAAGGGATGTGAACAGGCACTTATTTCACAGATTATGTCCACAAGGCCAGTTGACACATGAAAGACCGCTCAGGCTCATTAGTCATTATGGAAACTCAAATTTAAACTATACGGTGCAGGACTTCCCTGGTGGCGCGGTGGTTAAGAATCTGCCTGCCAGTGCAAGGGACATGAGTTCGAGCCCTGGTCTGGGAAGATCCCACATGCCGCGGAGCAACTAAGTCCGTGAGCCACAACTACTGAGCCCGTGAGCCACAACTACTGAAGGCTGTGTGCCTAGAGCCCATGCTGTGCAACAAGAGAAGCCACCGCACTGAGAAACCTGCCACACCACAACAAAGAGTA